ACTGGTTCCGTTAGCCCAGCCGCAGCTGCGTGGGCGGTCCGGGCCTCGGTTGTCCGCAGCGAGCACCGGCAGGGCAGCCGCGAGAGGAAGCCCCAGGGGCACAGTCGTGCTACCGTGACAGGCCTGCCGCTGGTGCCTGGCGTAGATGCTGCATGCCGTGGGCTCCGGATGGGCCGGAGCACCGCGTTGTATTGTGCAATGCCGGTTTGAGAACAGATAAACCTAACCCTGGGACAGTAGCTCCTCCCTTCTGGGCGTTTCTCTTGAGTAATATTTTCTAGCATAAATTAATTAATGCTAGTTAGCAGGGTGTCAAAGGGAAGGAAGCTGGATAAGCTGTGAGTGAGGAAGAGAACTGACTAGCTGCCCAATTACTAGCCTTTCCGTGTTGTCATATGGAGGAATGTGTTAAAGGTGTTAATATCCCCAATGCCTTTAGGATTAAAAGATTTCAATAAGTTTTATTGCTTTCTGACACAAATAAGGACACCTGTGAGAGATGGAGGCAAATTGGGAGATCGGGGTAGTGAGTATTGACAGGTTTTCCTAATATGGTATAATGGTGATAGAGACCTCATAGCTTTTTTTATTAACAGTAATCTGTGATGACGTATTGGTAAAATTAATTCACTCTCAATTCATATTGCTAAAATACATTTGAATTTTAGTTGTTTTTTAGAAGTAGGAGACGAGCAGCTGTGAAAACTTGTCTGGCAGTGGAAGGCTGTTTTGATTAACAAAGGCAAAAATTTGGGATACGAGACCTTAGTCTGAGACACAAACAAGAAATGCAGTTACAGAGCATTCTACCTCACAAGCTTGAGCCTTGCAGCTTACCAGGTTGGATGTCCAGTTCTGGAAATGCAGTATAAGACTTCTTCATGGACATGCACAGACCTAAATACCTGTAGAAATCAATGATGTTCTTCTTCAAGCCTCCACATAAAAATCTGTTCAGCTCTGATTTTATTGTTTCAGGTAAATGTAACTGAATATATTGTGTAACAATTTCCATTTCTCCTTTTTCACACTACTCTGCACCTTGCTCTCATTCTGATTTTTTTAGAAATAAAGCTGACCAAGGACTGGAACAAGATGGTATCTGTGCTCCAAAATGTCAAGGCAACAATGGCCTGGCAGAAACACCAGCTCCTAGCTGACTTCGATGAGAATGAGAGCCCTGTACCTGACAAATTCAAGAGAAGGGCTTCTTTGAGGTCTCTCAACACCATCCGCATGTCTCTAAGGAAGCGAGTACCATTAAAGCAAGTAGAGCTGAATTTTCATAAGACCCCAACTTGGGAAAGTCTGGAAACAAGACAGAAGCACCAAACTCTTCAGAATATTAAAAGAACAGCAAAAAATGCTTTTGGAACAGTGTCCCAGGTACTTTGTCTTTGCATGGAGCATGGATAGAGGTGGTTTTTGTTTTGTTTTGTTTTTTTGCTTCAACTTCAGTACTAATATTTCTGGACTCTGCATAGAATGCTGTACTCTAGAGTCTATCCCACATGCTTGCACACTGTAATGGTTGTCCCATAAGTACCAACTAGTAAGATCTTGACTATCCTTGCTAAAGTATAGACAGGCAAATTATGTACCTGGCAGAACAGGGAGGAAGGTGAAAAGAAGTAGTATGAGACATAGTCTCATCAAAACTTTAATTTTATTACTAAAATAAATGCTTTTCCCCTACTGCATTTCATCATGTACAGCAGAGCAGCCTTCACAAGGAAGAAGGCGGGTAGAGACTGCCATTGCTTACAAGGAATTGTTTCCGAGATATGTGTAGCGCTTGGGATTATTATATTTTTTTTAAACTCATTCTCCTGTAACCATACTATTTATTAGCATGTTCTTCATTACAGTCAATTTAAATTTGGACTGACAAAAACCACTAGACGGAAGCAGGGTAGCAAACTTGAGCTTGCACTTCCCTTTGGTGGAGACCTCTGAATCTAACCGTATCAGTTGTTACGGAGCCTGGGTCTTTCCTGCATAAAAGCAGCAGGAGCTCTGTTCCAATGCCTGCTGAAGTCCTTGACAAATTCCAAGGACGGGGGGAGCGACTCCTCCAATGCAAATGGGTACAGAGGGTTGAGAAGTATTCATGATAGATTAAACCTGGTATGAGAATGAAAGCTAGGGATTCAGCTCAATTCCTTGTCTTTCCTTTTTAGGCTAATTGAGTTCATTTAGTATAACATGTCTGTCTAATGCTTCTTTCAGAAAATACAGCAGTCTTGCCAAAGCCCAGTACACTCAGTGGTGACCTTTCCGGCTGAATCCATCAGCAGAAGCTGTACAACCAGTTCTACCAAGAAAAGAAGTACTACACCTCAAACACCTTGCCATAAGAAGAGTGTTACACCAGCAGCCAGTTCCAAAGGCACCCCAAGATCCAGCAAAAGAGCCTTGCTTGGGCCAACAAAGATGTCAGAACACAGCAAATGGAGGGGTTTTTCATCCTGGCTTGGTAAAGATGCTGTCTCTCTCCGGAGATCAAGAAGAGCAGCAGCACTGAAGAGCCCATATTCATCACCTGCTCTTGCCAGCAAAAAGATGTAAGCTGCATTCTTTTGTACACTTTATTACTGTGATTAGAGTGCCTTGTAAGGTAAAAGGCAAGATAGGAAGGTTGCTATCCTGTTCTCCTGAAAGGGTGTGCTGTTTGAATAGTTAAGAAAGTAGCTACAGGTCCCAGTATAGATAGGGACTGAGCACTGCATAAAGCTGAAACATGAAACTCAATTTTGTGCTGCAACAAGAACTTTTTAAAAGTCACTCTCCTCCTGGGTAAGTTTACACGATGTTTTTCAGCCCCAGTCCCCATCAGACACTAGAGACATACCAGAGTTCTTTGCTGATGCCTTTTTGGTAAAGAAAAATGCTCTCAATGCATTTCACTCCTACTTCGCTCTAACTTTTCCAAAGTTGCTGTTTGTATTGCAAAGATACTGAAATAGCTCTACTTAATGCTGAGCTTTTTATAGAGAGTGGAGATATTCTTGCCTCAAAGATTTAACACAAAGTAGATAAAGGGTTGTGAGCTAGGGAAATACTTCACAATGTACACATATGTTTTTGTTTTGGTCAAAGCCACATGAGAAATGTCAAAGCTAGATGCTGAATCCAAGCCTTGTGAATCTGAACCCAGTGTTTGAATTGGAAAATAGTGTCTTGGGGATGAATAGAGATGTGAAGCAGTTGGTCAGTGGAATTAAGAGCGTGATTGCTACAGCCCTAAACCTCTCCGGGTGAAGTCTGGAGATAATTAGTTGTTACTGCAGGGACAGAGGCTTGGCTACTGTCACCTAGTCAGTCTGTCATGTTTGATCTTTAGTAATGACTGTTCTATTTGCAGAGAGTTTGACTGCGAGTTGGAGCTGGTCTCCTCGGGGATTTGCCAGTTGAAGCGTATCTCCCAGGCATTTGACGATGCCATTGTGCAAGAGGAGAGGTAAATACCACTAACTCTCCCTTAACTTTTAGCAACAGGTTACATCCCACTCGGACATTATCAATTGCAGGCTAAATGATCCTTGGAACTCAGGATGAGGAACAGCTGCAGAACTTTATCAGCTGTAATGTAGCAGAGCCTGTCTGTCTTCAAGAAATCCACAGTTGGACTTGGCAGCTTCTAAAACCTGTTAAATGCTCTCATTTTCAGTTTCTTACTGTGGAAGTCAGTTGTTTTTTTTTCCCCAGCAAGAGCCTACCTTTGACCTTGTGTGACAGCAGTACCTCCCTGCCTCTGTCTAAAAGAGGTGCCAATCCAGGCTGGGGGATGGGGTGGAAAATCCCATTGCACTGACACTGTCTTTGCACATTTATAACAAAATCCTTTTATTAGGTAGTATTATGTTAACAAATAGTCCATGGTACCTATAACTCAAAAATTCAGAGGATGCTGAAGCCCCTTGTACAACACCTTTGTTATTCCATGAGGCGGTAGGCTCCTGTGTTTGTAAAGGTTATGTCATTTCGAATTAGCCATAGTAAGACAGTAAAAACTAAAAATCAGAAGTCTCGTCACAGGGCAATTCCCTAAACCTCCTCCTCTCTTAGAACACTTGACAATTCTATGTCAAGCATTCGATAATTAAATGTCATGCACCTAAGGTCCTCTGGAGAGGGCTTAGCGTTAAGTACTCTTATCTACCAAGAGGTAAGGGCTTAAAATCCTATATAATTCCAGAAATTCAATTTTTACCAATGAGACCATTTCTAGGTAACTATAGGTTAAATCTTATATTAAGCTAATGATCACATCCATTGAAAGTTCACTAAATCTCACTCCTAATATTCTCCCATCTGTTAGTGATATGACAGTTTCTCTCATTCGTAACTGAAGATAGTATCAACCAGGTAAAGTAGTTGTTCACTTATGTTGTCTATACCTGCATGCATCTGTGAGGAGAAAACCTGCTGTTTGGAGAGAGAAAGGCTTATCAACTCGTACTTCTTTAAAGTATTATTATGCAGAACCACAGGGTTCTTCCCTCGTATTCACTGTGGCTGTCTCTGCTACAGCAGATCGTTGTGCAGTTGTAAAAGTTCACCTCTACATTGTGGATTAGTGAAACCTTGTGGGTTCGCAATGAACTCTAAGTTGGGCTTCTATGCAAACAGCAGTTTTTCTCACCCCAGACCAGAAAACTACTGGTACTAATGTCTTTGTTGCTCGACTTCAGTTCTCACTGATTACTAATGAAGATCACAAAGCATGACAGAACAAACTATTACCATGAGCTGTCTAATTCTACAGCCTTTCTCTTCCATCCCTAGCACTGCCTTAGCAGTTAAGACGATGCTATCACAGTAATAGCAGTTGATACCTGTATTGCTGGCATTTTTAAACACAGCCATTGCACCTAAATACAAGGGAACAGGAATTCTTTGCAGTAAGTTTCTAAACATTGGAACAATTTGCCCAGAGAGGTGGTGGAGGCCCCATCCCTGGAGACGAATATTCAAGATCAGGCTTGATGGGGCTCTGGGCAACCTCCTCTAGCTAAAGATGTCCCTGCTCACTGCAGGGGTGGGTAGACTAGATGACCTTTGGGGGTCCCTTCTAGGCCAATGCATTCTATGAAATATCACTTCTAGTGTCAATTCATTGAACCATTACCAGGTAAATGCCTTTATTACCGTCAATGAGATCGCCATTGTGACATTAATATCTTCACCCACTATGCTGGAAGTGTTCCTTTCGTTAAAGGGAAAGTTACATCCTGACTACTATGTCCTATTTTAGCAACAGAGAGAGGTGTAAGATGTTGATTGCTGTAACTTTTTAGGAAAAATGAGAGCAGTTTCAAATGCTCGACTGAAGCTCTAAACAGGGATGTGTACTACTTCCACTAAGCAATTTGGTCCAGTTCTCCTGCATGTTTAAATGCATACAGTGTGCTCTGTCACTGTCTGGTTGGTAGGTTGCCTGCTGGAATAACTGTAAAATAAACTGTTTTGGAGGCATCCTTACAGTCTTGCATATGACTTTCTGTTCTGGTATTCAATTGCCATGAGTTCTAGGGTTATGGCTCCCTTTTCATTTTTTCCATGATGAAACAAAACTTGATCTCAAACTGTGTACAGTTGCCAGCTCCGTGTATTGGTCTAATGTTTTTCTTCTTAATAAATTAGATTGTATCACAAGAAATGCTCCTGTTGCTAGTTAAAGTATTGCCGTACTTAATTGGTGTACTGCCATTGAGGGTTACTGAAGGTAACAAAGTTATTTTCTTGCTAGTGTTTAGAACTGTTACACAGTGAAAGTGTAACTGCCCCAGACCTCTTTCTTGCTCCCATCTAACAGTTTTCCAGTAATTTGCGTGACAACCACTTAATTAACCTACTGACTGTCATGCTGCTAATGGCAGTCGTCTTGTTCTTCTGCAGGCAATGTGCAATATCAAACTACTACTATCTAATGGCACAAAACTTACAGTCTGCACATCGATCTCAGAAACTTTCTCGAGCTATCGGAAGGCGAGCAAAGAACCTCCATCGAGTACCTGGTACCTAGACAGAGGTGGCAAAAACTGTTGTCAGCTTGTGAGCATATATAAAGGAGAGCTCTGTAGCACTTGAAAGGGTGCACTCTATACACTGAGCAAGCCGTTACATTTTATAATCTTTCCTGACAAAGCAGCTCAGGACTTCCATTCCCTTGCTTTCTCTTTTCAAGTGAATAGGAGAATCAAAATTGTACCACAGTGTATTATCTCCTGCTGAGACGAGGGACCGTCTTGAATGTGACTTTCATAAGGCAGTAAGTACTTTGAAGCTTGTGTTGAACTGACCAGTACGAATGGCCAGAGCAAGGGCCAGACTCATGAAGGGTGATCATAGGTAATAGTAGTATTTAGACTGGTATTCAGTTGCCACAAGGTTTAGTATGCGTACTTTGCATACTAAAAGCACTGGTCCATTATAGTCAGAGCCTAACAATTTTTTTTTGTGTATGAACAAACCAAAAGTTAAGCATTGTGTTTAACTGGAAGTTAATGAAACAGTAGTGGCTTGTTTGCAGTCTGATCACAACTGCCATTCCAAGCAACAGGTTTCTCTGGAGTCACACCACAAAAGAGGAGCCACATTAGGATTCCAATTCATAGCCTTAAGGATTGCTATTAATTAGCCTAATTAATCCTATCTTAAGTAGTTAGGTTCCAGACAAGTAAGAGCAACTTTATGTCACTTCTTGCTGCTGCTTTAAATAGCATCTTGGCAGTAGAGTTAAACACTGCTTTTGTACTACACTGTCTGTCTTCTAGATATACACAGAAATTGGTTACTACTATTAATGTAACCTCATACAACTACTGTTGCTAGCCAGTATTACAGCACAGGTATTTTATTTGATGAAGTATATACCAAGCGTTTGATGTCTGTATTTTGCTTCTAATTAGTTTAAAAAAAAAAAAGCGACACCCATTCGACAAGCCTTTTTGGGTAGGTGATTCATTTGATATGGCTGAACTTTGATAAATTAAAGCAAAGATTTCTCAAGCTTCTAGAATTCAACACCAGGGCTGTTTTCCACAGTAGCAGCTTTGAGCAGGCTTCTGAGATTACATTCACTCTAAGATGAAACTTCAAACAAAAGATTAATTTGTGAAACTTTGGTCTACTTGCTGATTTTTAAGATTTAATTTAGTAAAACAACTATTAAAATTTTAATGGTATTAAGTATAAATATGGGAAGTAGTAATGTTCAATCCTGACTCATGTGTAAGTATGGATTTTTAAACTCGCTCCTGATTTTTCTTGTCAAACTAGGCTGTTTTAAAATACTGAAACAGTTGTTAATGAGGCCTGGAAACATGAGAACAACTCTGCCTTCCAGATGACTGAGAGAGCTTTAGCTTGTGTTATTTCTTGATGTAGTTTTTGTGTGTGTGTGTGTTTTGTGTTGTGGTTTTGTTTGTCATTGGGTTTTTTTTTACCACCCTTCTATATAGAACAGTAGCTTGAAGTTATTCTTTGCATGTACTGAAACTACTTCTATAAAGCTTTCACAAAGATGGTGTCTCATTATTGAAATATTCTTTTATATGACTTTTCAAAAGGAAGGATGAGGGTTGGAGAAAAGTTTGCCTCTAAGTATTATTTCAGATAGTCAAATGTTTTACACAGCCTCTACCTAGTTTCCACCGGCTACTAGGACACGGACAATGATGATCTAATACTCCCCACATCACTGGTAACAAATCAGTGACACTGTTTGCTTAAAGGCAAGGAAGGTTTTTATTTAAGTGAATAATCTGTTGTAAGATTTTAAAAACCAGCTCACATCAAAATCTATACCAGTTGTAGAAATCTTACTCCTTATTTCATATTAAGAAATTAATTATTATACATTTTTGAATCTTTACAAGGCATCCATAAGAAATATAAACATTTGTCACCAGATAGAACCTTCACTGACAAACACTATTTAAAAGTATGCACTTAACAAAACTATAGACTGAAAGAACATGTACAATTTCAAGTTTCCTTGTATGAATTCAGTTGTAAGTGGACCGCCCCCTTCCCTCCCCCACAAATAGAAAAATAAGTTATGCAGAAGGCTTGGGGTTCTGTGAGAGGACTGCCATTCTGGGCCCTACACCAGTCCTCCCAGAATAACCTTATCTTTAAAGCCTGCAATCTGTAAATTATGTTTCAACATTGCAATCTCTGGTATGCTATCTCTCAGCACATCACAGTAAACGTGCCCCTCTCTCTCTTCCCCCTCCCAAGTTCTGTACATCCTTACAAGTGAGAAGTGAACTGTCAAATTTGTTAAATGTTTCCCTGTCCCCCACGATTATATCCAGTTTCAAAGGTAGCTTTTTGAGATAAATACAAATAGAGGGTAAGCTGCAATCCCCTTGCCTTGGGCTTGAACTAAAAATGAGGAAAGAGGAAACACCGACACCTGACTTCAGAGTACGTGGCACAGGTTTCTAACTGTTCCAGGCCATTTCTTATTTCTGAAGAAAAACCCCTCTTTTCATACCAAAAAATGTGTTGTTACCTCCATTTTTATGGGGGACTGAATTTACTATCAGCTGTAGGAACCTGTATTTACACTTGAGTGTTTAAACATCATGGAAGTCAAATCACTTTGTTAAACATACAATTTCTGCTGAAGCTATGAACCTGGACCATGAGGAATCATTGCCCTTAGAGAAGCTGAGGAGGTAAGTTGGAAAGTTTTGTGTTTATGGGAATTCTATCCTGCAGCAGCTCCAGATGAGGATGGAAAGTGCCACTTTCTCCCCTGCATGCCTGAAATGAATGATTCAAGGCAGAAATCTTGAGTTCAGATTCCACATTTCAAGCTCTAATCAGAAAAATAATGTCATTGCAGTGTACAATCTTTTCTTCTCTCCATTATTAAGCCAATGAGGTGCCTGCCCATACTCCAATCATGTAGTACTTTTATGATGTACTCACCTTTCTGTGGTTTAGATGCAAGAGGGGGAAAAAACCTGGGGAAAATCCTGTTTGTTCAGTAACAGTTGTTGCACTTACAAAACCTATTAATTTCAAGTATTATTTAAAATGCTTATAAACAAAGTTTTCTGCAAATTTAAGACAAAACAATATAGAAAGAGGGGGAAAAAATTATTTTTTTCCTTTCTAAATTTATTCTGTGAATTACTTGATGACACTATAGATCTAAGTGTTGGGGATTTGCTTAAATACACATCGGTAGTGCCCTGGCCTAAAGACTGCAATGTATAAATGGGACAACTTGTTCACTAATAATGGCAAACAAAAGCTATTTTGCAGCTTCCAGATAAAGTATCACTGTTCTGCTTATTTTAATAGTAGATTAAGGTGTATCTTTTTTTCCTCTAGTTTACTGATAGTTCCACTTCTACATAACCAGTGAAAGTTTCAACTCTGATTAGAAGTGACTTCCCTAGGGACTAGAAGAACAGGTGAAGTAATCTGTAGGAATTAAGACTCTATTTTCATGTAAACAAATCAAAATGGCAGCTCTCATGAACCCCAGTGAAGAAGAGTTATCAATGTCATGTCATTTTTACACGTAACAAAATTTTATGCTGAATAGATATAAACCATGCCACAAAACTAAACAGGAGTACTTTAGTCAAGCAAGAATCTGTTCCAAGAGCACTACTGTATGCAAACACTTTAAAAAAAAAAAAACCACCAAACTACTCAAAATAAGCAGAATTGGATCAACATCACTATTCAGGTCTGTGGAATATTCTGCACTCTTTATACAGTATCTCTTTTCAAACTTACCTAACTAGACAACAAAATTGAATAAACAGCCATTGTGTTGGTTTTTTTTTTTAAAGTATATTGGTTACAGATTTGCTGTGAAAGCAGAACCAAGACTTCACTTAAGGCAACTTCCAGTAGCTACACACACACACACACACACACACCACAGTTGTGAAGATGTATTTTTCACAATATCTCAGATAAGTCTACCACTGCTATTAATCACAGCCATTTTTTTTACAGTAATTTAAAACTGGATCCACATCAATAGGGCAAAGAAGTAAATGCTTCCAACTGTGGCCTACTTCGCACTGGTTTGTACCACTGCCTTAGCACTCACTGGAATAATGATTTTGTTTTTACAGTCTCACTTATGTTTCCGCCATTCAGCAGATTAGAAGAATGTGCTTTTCTGTAACAGACTGGAGGCACTAAAGGTGCTGAAACTACTGATGAGCCCAACCTGTGTTCCTTGGGCACCCACTATTCCTGCCTGACTTCTCTGCCCCTTTCCCTTCTGAGTATGCTTTAACACTTCCATAACCCATGAAGTTTAAGTGCGGACTGCATGGGGAGTGCAGCAAGGCGGACTTGCAGTCAGAGAATAAGATCAGTGTAGCATCAAGCTTATCCTCAGCACATGGCCTGCTTAGGAGGACTGAAAATCCTTCCGTGAAAGTACAACTAAAAGAAATCCAGTTGCAAGCTGAATGCCCATGAACTGCTGCATGCAGCTTCATGCTGCATGAAGTGTATAACTACAATCCTGAGCAGCAAGAAACATTTTAAGAGAAAACACAATTGAAAAATTATGCTATAAAACTAGCGATTCATCAGGCAAACCTCAGGGATTGCCCCAATCATAAGATGGGGGGTTGGGGGCTGGGAAAGCTAGTGGTTCAACGTGCAGGATGTTACCTGCCATTGCCATAGAGTGTGTGTTGAAATGCCAGCCTAGTTGCAGGATGTCTAAAATCACAGTAATTTTGTTCATACTCTTGGCTCCAACAGAAGTTCTTTTACTATTTTAGTGGCAACTGGCTAGGGCTTTCAACACAAATGCATCTGGTATCTGATGTTTCAGAAGATCAGCTCCTAATTAACATGAAGCTTTAACCTCCAAGCCAATGCCTGTATCGATGTTTGCCAAAGTGCTCAGGAGACAGACCATTCTATCGCTATGCAATAAGTAGTGTTGGAATTATGCCAAGGCTGCATGAGCTCTCATATATTGTAGGAAAAGATGTTAGGGGAAATATTTTCAGCTTGATTTCAATATCATGTATAGAAACTTTGAAATTGTTACCACTCTAAATCATGCACACGCACACGGATCTGTTTTACTACTATTAGCTCATAATATTCTCAAGTGAAGCCAGCACACTGACTACTGTAAAGATGACCCAGTTATTAACAGAACTAAAAAAAAAAAAAAATAAAAAAATAAAAAAAAAAAATCAGAGTTTTCATGAGGTTACCTTGCAAAAATGGCAGTGTCTGCAAAAGTAAAAGACAGACCTTAACCACCTAGGAGCTTTCTCTCTCTAACCTTGTGCTCAGACACTAGTTCCTGTAATACCATCACAGAATTATACATAGATCCCTCTTTTGAAAGGAAATATGTATTTTTACTACAGCAGCTTAAAATGAAAAATAGATTTTGGAGGCTCTTGGATGATGGAGGTAGATGGCTAAAGAAACATCAGCGTTGAACTTTGCAGTAGAAACTGTGATTACTGTCAGGAGACATGCCACACAACACCCAGTGATTAAAAAGAACTTTGCGCTCAGTCACTGTTGCTTTTAGGGCCCCTCAGCAAATTTAAAATTGGCCTAGAGCTCCTCCTTCACAAGTCTTGGATTCCTATGCCTATTTAAAACTAAGAAGCAGGAGCATGCTAACTGTGAACTGACCGGAGGGATATTGAGTCTGGTGTACCTGTGCAATCTCCTCCTAGCTGCAGAGGACAAGAGAAGAAACGGACTATGTGTTTAGAATTAATACACGCAGTGAGCAAAGACAGGACACAGAATAATTCCTCCAAGTTTGTGGGTTAAAAAACTAGGTGTGATACTACTAGGAAAGCATCTGTAAACCTGAAGACTGCTTCAATGTAGTTTGTGGGTATCTTCCATTTAGCTTTTGTATCTGGCCGACTTGGCAACAGAGCATAAAAACCCAACCCAGCCCCCCCATAAGGCAGGTAGTCACCCGTGCCAATCAAATGTGAGCTACCAAACTTTTAATATCTTTTCTAAGTTTTCAGCAGATTACCCCTTCCCTTAGAGGATGCACTACAAAGAACAAATTACTGATCTGTCAGAGCTCTTTCAGGAAGTTTGAAATAGGTAACTGACAATCTTGCAAAATAATGTCTAAAAAAATAAATCAAAGATCTCCATTTATAAGCTACTTTGTGGCCTTTTAAGGCAAAAGCCACACTACTATGCGCTTCAAAAAGCACACTGAGACTTTTGGGTGAATAGGGAGTATAGACTTAGGTTTACTTCTGCACTGTCTTAAGTTTTCCATTGCATTTCTGGTTTCCTTACATGCCAACTTTCAAAATCATTAACAGACTCATTGAGAGGCTGTTTCTGGTCTAGCTACAGACTAGGAAAATCTGAGAGTAAGGGGCAGGGGGCCAGGGCAGGGAAGGCACATCACCCTCTCCACCCAAACTCCCTGAAATTAAAAACAAACAACCAACCAAACCAACCTGAAAAATAAATCTCCTATTGACTTCAAGCTTTCTCAGTGTCAATAGTCTGGTTTTAACATTTAAAGAAAAGGTGGTTTATGTGCACTTGTAACTTCATTGCACGTTTTAAAACATGCTTCAGTTCAGTCATGAAAGTTCTCTTGGTGAATGTAGTGCAGTGCAATTACCTGCACGAAGAATCTGCAAGCTGCTGCTATGTTAAACTAACTACAACACTTTAGAAATATTACCACCCAGGGAAAATTTCACACATTTTGCTTCTGGTAAGTTCACTGAGAGATCAGAGAGAAATTTAAATCAGTAGGAAAACGTCTGTTTGGTACTTGTAATTTGGCATGTCCATTCCTTGAAGCTCAAATGCTGTAATTCTGAATGCTACAGACTGTCTTACAGCAGCTACTATAAAGCATTAGAAGGTAAACAATTTACCCATAGGAGTGCCATTACTTTTTTCCTCCTCCAGTGTAAAGAGTCTAGTTAGAATAATGAAAAAAGTGATTACTTGGAAGTCTGCAGATCCGTTAGTAAAAGGGCGCCCTTTAGCTTACCATCGCAGGATCTGTCTCTTGGACTGAGCTGGTCAGAGCCATCTCCTTACTCAGAGTAGTCCACACATTTTGCACAGTCACCAAGTTCCACAAAACAACGTGATCTTTGTACACTTGCACATTACTTTGTATACAGTAACACTAACTGCTTCAAACTGTGGCAGACACATTTATTTCTAACATGAAGTTTTTATGATTTGGTTCATAAGTGGAGTTCTCCCACTTACTTGATGTCCAGCACCTCACACAAACACAAGTGCCCATGCTGGGGTCTGTTGACCAACACTGTAAGCTGAAAGGAAATCTTGGGTTTAAGGCACCCAAAAAGCATCTTGCTGTAGAAATCCCGATCACCCATTATTGTAGTTCCCACCTCTGCTTCCCTTGCAAGTGTAGATCACTTTATCAAAAGTGAAGACAGATACAACTATTTAATGTTTAAAGTGTAAACTTTCTCTGTAACCTATGGGACCTACTGTTCATACTCTTTTGGGTGCAGCTAGTTAGCTGGTATCACAGTCCTTCTGAGTAAAATCAGCCTGTTACAGCTTTTTCTCTTATTGCACATTTTATTATATCTGTTGCAAAAAACAACCAAAGGTATTTCCTGTTGCTTTGATGTTGTAAGCACTTGCCATAGTCTTAGATTGTTTTAAAATTTCCCAATAAACACGTCAAGAGGAACAGACTAGAAGTTCCCCAGTCGGTGTAAGAAGGCAGATTCCAGAGCAGGGAAGACTCCGAGGTACAGGTTCCCCTCTACATCTCTTAGTTTGAAGCTGCCTAAATACTATCTTTGAGGCATGCCTACAAGTTTAATGGAGTGCACCCAAGATCTATATTCCCAAGTTTCCTAGGGGACAGACTCAAATTTGTGAACTCCACCTCGAACCCAAGCAATGGAAGGCAAATGCCTGTCATGATCTTTGTCTGATTCGGGCTGGCTCTGGGCACGCTCTGGCTTGGGGTTCGAAGAAGGTGGGTCAGGTTGCTGCACAGACATAGTCCTGCGGAGATGGTTTCTCTTGCGCAAAAACTCAGGTTGGGAGTGGAGGCCAAAGCTGCCTTTTCTCAAGATCATCCGAGAGTTGTTCTTTTTGGGTCGTGAATGGAGACTGAACTCCAGCGAGGCCAAGTGGGCTGCATAACCTTCGCTGAGGAACTGAAATAGGAAGGAAAGAAAGGGAATGACAGATTACTGCTTCCTTGGCCTATGAGCTCCCTGAGGAATTAAGTTCCTATCTTTGGCATCCCAGTTAGATACCTCCAGAGTACCAACACTCCTCTCCCCTCGCTTTTTTTTTTTTCCCAGTGATCTGTTCCATTTTGTCATTCAGCAACATGCAATGCATGCACTTGCAGATACAACCTATGACCACTTGATTCTCTGCCAGAAAATGCCTCATCTGAAACCAAAACTGACTTTCTTTCTCTGAAACGTTGTCTCTGCTCTCTGTCTTTTGTGTGTGTGTGTTTGCACACGCACTCGCACACACACACATTTCCTCGTTTCCCCTAGGACTTCCTGATTGAATAGCAAGAGTTACTTACTTGACACTGCGCCTGGTATTTCTTTGTTGATCGTCCAACTATGTAGATCTGGGATGGCGACAGAGCCAAGACATTGTACACAGAAATATCCTTCATGGAACCGTATGCAGCACAGATTTTGATGTGGCACTGAAACAAACATTACTTCCAAAGTGAATGCTTTATTCATGCACTACAAGGATGGCACTTGTTGTACGATGAAGCAGCAGATGAGTTCATTGTTAACAACTTCATTTGGTAAAGCACAGAAAGCTAAACCTATCTGTCTGTGTGCCAGCAAGAACTGCATATATTCACACAGGAAAGAACAAGCAATTCATTTACTTATTTGTCATGCCAAGAGGTCCCTTTGGATGTTTTATCGGCCTTCCTTGCTCTTTAAAAAGTGAGAAAAGAAACAATGGCAAAAATGGAATGGTAAAAAGATTTTGTGATGGCCAGTGAGACTTACTGTTCAAAAGGAAGGGAGATCTCTAACTTCACTGAATGACATTCTCTGGAAAAAGGTTTTAAGGCTATAAACAGGTTTCTAGTACCTCTTGCATGAGATTTCGGAGAAAAATGGTCTTTTGTCGCAGTGGGTCATGAACAAGTCCATCTGAGAAGAAGATCATCCCTTGTGGGAAGTTGTGTTGAGACAACCATGAAACCACACGCTGTTTTTGCATATCTGGACGGCCAGTAATATAGATGATCAGATATCCCAGATCCTGCCAATGCCTGTCAGAAACAGCAGGTTATGTAGGTGTAGAAAGAGAAACAATGCCCAAGGTCTGGTCAGCATTTCTTTGCTCAGCACAGACTCAGTTAAAAGTCAGACGTTATCCTTCAACAAGTGGAAAGCAGCACTCCTAAGTCTCTGCTCCTATTGAGAAATTAAGTAATAACATCTACAACCTGCGGGAGATGAGGGGAAGCAAGAGAGATTCTTATACAATATGTTACATAAAATACAAGGGCTATTTAAAAATGTATTTAGAATAGACCTTGTTACACATCAAGTCCTGCTACCTTCGAAACCTTTAATGAGATTTCCTGCCATTTCAGCTGTAAGGAGTGGAAACCCTTGAAAACTGACACCCCTCCATTCCCATGCAAGTTCCAAAATGAGAGCTGTATCTCCTCATCCAGTCTGACATTAACAGACTTGCAAGAATGGATCAAAAGGCCTTTTAATTCTTCCTCCAGAAAACGCTCTTGCAGTCATGGCACTTGATAATTTTGAAGCAGAAGTATGTCCTTATTTGAAGTTAGTGAAAACACAAAATACACTCTTTGCTAATCATAGTAACACATGCAATCATTAACTCACTTTAAGGCCATATTCCCAAGAAGCAACAACTTTTAATCTTTAGGCTACTTAAAACTACAAATTTCAAATTAAACCATAGCATTCTAAGATTCTTCAGAAAATCAGGCAGACCTGATGTCCAAGCAAATATAGAAATGATTCTGCAAAGAGTCCTGGCCTTTAAAGAATTGTTGTTTATTCAGTAAAAAACTCAACCCTATTCTGCCCTCGTCCTTCCTATTGTGTTCAAACAGGAAAGTTGGAGATTTGAAAGTGAAGTGGGCAAACCTCACTTACCTGACAACATCGACGGCCCCAGCTCGGACTTTGGGATCACTTCCCATGATTGAAACACTTGCTGCAAATGAACCGTCAATGCTGAACACAACACACTCCATTCCTCGGGGAAGCACAGTCAGGTAACTTGCAGCACTGCTCTGGTCCCCTCTGGAGAGTCAAAGTGATAAATAGATTTAAAAAGCAAAATGTCAGAATGTATTTTCCGTACGTTTCAGTTAAGACTTGAAATTAGATGTCTGGATCTACAGCTTTGAGAACCGCTGTCAAATAGGGCTTCTGATTTCAGTCCTATATGGGGCAATTAAAACATACACTTTTAGGAAACAGCTTTCCAAAGAGAAATTTGGAAGCTGACTTTAACAAGAAATCATGTGTATGAATACCTAAAAGAAATAGGAAAAAAAACACAAAAAGAGCCTGAAGTACTCAAACTACTACTCAAACATGCTATCCATCTATATATGTATATATGTACACATATAAGACATGAATGCAATATATATATATATGCACACTTACACAAATAGCACACAGAAATTAGCTGCATTTTTTTCTGTCAGTCTACAGTTACTGACAAATTATTAGAAATTACAAGGGAAGAATTTATATGCACCTTTTATTGGTATGTACGTACACAAATCAGCTTTTCTCCATTAGATAAACTGTTGGTAATACTAGCATTACAGATCCCTCTATCCTTGCAAATTACAATGGGAATGCCAATCCAGAAAATTAAAGGGAAAAAAAAAAAAAAAAAAAAGCGCCCAAAACTAACCCAAAAAAGAAATGGAGTCATAGATGGCTTTTCTCATGTAAAAGCAAGTGAAATGCAATCTTCTCCTCATGACGTATTTTCCCCAAGAGGTCTAGACATTAAGACTCTAACAAAGCACAAAGTAATCCCAAGTTCTTACCATCCCATGACCTCACATTCCCTAAAAAAATGTAACCTGAAGACCACACTTTCTTTCCTTTAGAAAGTTGATTATTGTATGATCTAGATTGCATCTGGTGATGAAGATTCTTAAAATGTGTGTGCACAGCTTAATGAGCAAAACCAGGACAATTTCTTTCATTCCTGTTTGAAACTTACTCCCGCAGTCTGAAAGCCCATGGGAGCTTAGCTTCTGAATACACCTTAACTCATTTTTAAGTAACTCTCTTTTCTTGAATCGTTTTTCTGTTCTATCACACTGAGGTAAAACATCTCTTCCTCCTCAATTAGCACTACATAAGATTCTAAATATACTTTGGACTTGGTTAATGGGTGGGTAACGACACATTCTGTTTCAGCTAAATTCATCCTACTGATTTAGACTCCAAAGCAGGGATTCAAAGGAAGCTGTCAAGGTACTTCCTAAGCGGCTAGGCAATTTAATTCTAAGTACAATACTAAACTAAACCTCTGTATTAAATAAAACTGAACTTCTATTAAACATGATTTTTTTTAAAAGCACAGCTACCCCAGTCCTGCACCTAGGCCAACAAATTTTATTTCGCACACCTTCATTCTTCATGCTTTACTTAGCATGGAGATTTTTAAGAAATGCTGGAGAGCTAGAAGAGTCGATTGATTTTACGTCAGTGAATTGTTATTTTCAGGCATTGGTTTTGCTCGGTTTTGTTTTGTTTTCCCAATTTAGAATAAGCATGGTCTTGAGTACAGAATTAAGGTAACTCTTTCGATCAGCCTGACATCAACAGATAAAGAGGTGGCTAACAGTGAGGCAGTTCTCTACTGTTAATTTCAATAAGAAAAGCTTCTTCTCGGTCCGAAGAACACAAAGCTATACCCTTCAGCAGTCTTTTCCCCAATAAACAGGCTGCAAAATACTCCAGGTCATACACTCTTGCCACAAGAAGACTGATTACAGTCATCCAGTCCCCATATTTTGCAAGACCAAGTGCTCCTAAGTTGAACTGCACTGAGGATTTCTGTTGCAGTAGGGATAAATCCATTGGCCTGGGCACCTCCAAACCAGCCAGCAAACAGATGATCACTGCTTCAAATCTAAGCTGACAACACAGTGACAAGACCAAGAAAAGATAACTAACAGACCAAAATCTCCCTGCACACCCCCTTCTGTCTTATACACCATGGTGTCTTCCTGATCAAAACAACCCATCACAGCTGTAGTTCCAGCTTGGAGCTATTACCTGACCACCATTTTGATGGGATACACACCAACTCTCAGTCTCTTCTGTTTGGGTATGTTGTAGGATATCCGCCCACTGCTGTTGGATATCTCTGTGTCAAAGAACACCCACCTACCCGAAGATGGCTCAGTCATTATGAAGATATCAACCTGCAAATACAACAAAACAGTTATCTAATGTGATAGCAGGCAACACGCCCTCTATTTACAAGGCCTGCCAAGCCTAGATCACATTAGTATCTCCCAACTATGGCTGGCACTAAAAGCTTACAAGGAAGTTTGAAGGAACTTCAAAACTCAGTAAAAACTTCACAGAGGGTCCTCTCAATTAGAAAATGCTTCCTAACACACCATACCTAAGTTTATTCCCTTCGTCATTTAAAGCACTCAGCACTGTAGGTGTCAAATGAGTGTATAGAGCTCAGAGATTTGGCAGGAAGCCTAAACTAGAAAAAAGATCATTTCATCTTGCATATGTATATTACATTTTTGCATACCAAACCTACAAAAAGGAAAATTTATCTGGTTATTGGCAAAATGACATATTTCTGAAATCATAACCTTGCCTACAAATGTAAAACCTAAACACTTTAAATTATCAAATTTTTTTTTCCAAAGGTTTCATCAATACGGTTTTCTTCAACTGAAATATTTCATCAAAAATAACATAAAGTGTATGAAATACTTTGTCTGACTTGAACCAGCCCTTTTTAGCAATAAGTACATCAGTAAATCTGAGGAGGGTATCTGCCAAGCTCTCCTTCTGTACTCATTTTTTACTGAACTTAGGCATACAAGGTTTATGTAGACTTCCTCAGTGCTCAACATGCAGCCAGAAACTCTACAAGATTCGCCAGCAGCTTACAAGATCACACTGTTTGTGTGGATATCCTTGAAAACGCTGCAGATATGCTCTTGGACATAATGACGTTACCTGACATTGGGATATAACTATAAATAACACGAAATTTATTCTGAACTGCTGAAATTCAGAACTTAATTCCTCTAAGGGATGAGCTTTGATGCAAGGGAAGAAATGACAGGT